TATATGAGAATGATCTTTCTTCCCATTTAATACCCTGCTTTCTCAACCAAAAATCTTTGGTCTCCACGACCATGAATTCATTGGTGTACTCTGCTGGTGGTTTAAAAGTTGCTAGCGCAGCAGAACTAAAAAAATCCACTTCATCACTTAGCGAGATAACAGCAAGCTCTTTGACAATAAAAGATCCATCAAGCGTGTAGAAGCCTTCAAAATCAATAAAAATCTCCATCTTCTCGACTTTAAGTGCTCAAGTTCAAGAACAGAAACCTAATGATGATATCTCACCGAGCAGATTGAGGATCAATCCTTACCATGAAAGCACAGTGTAGAGGGGGAAATTGTGTAAGATTCTTAGAAGATCGTGTCATAACAGCTTCCAGATAGCAGATTCACAATTCAAAATGGCGGATAGCAGCCATCAGATGGATCATCAATTAATTTTTCAAGCCATTTTTTGTTTTTTTTCACCTTCAACACATAAATAGCTCAAATAACACGTTAAATTATTAAAAATTTCCCCAAATACATTATACGCAGTTTTACCGACATCCTAGCTAATTACATGACGGCGTGCATTATAGTCCAGATTTTTCTTAATAGATGCACTAGTAATTATCATTGGAGGCTTAAATAAATGATAGTCACACTCATAAACACCATTGAATTGATATTCATTAGTAATCTTGGTGACACGAAATTCCTTGACTGCAAATGAACCGTTTGGCATAATATAACTGGTAAAAAAAATCAATTAAGTATTCCATATTTCATTTTCTTTATAATTGACCAATTAAAGAATTATAAGTGCAGCCTCAATTGGTGGACTATCCAGTTCGTCTTCGGAATATTTATAGCTTATTAATAAAAAGTTTTCAATAGAAGTTTTCAATGCTTTCCATAGAAATATCAAAATCACAAAAATCATTTCTCATGAAAACTCCTCTTAAATTTGGAATTGTAACATAGATTTAATTTATTTTTTAACATAAATTTAATTGAAGTAATTTATCATTTATTCTTGATTATGAAGGTTTGATAAGAAATTCAAACTTGTGATAAGCTGTTCCTAAATAATTCAAGTGAAGTTCTCCTGCTGAGGCCAAATCGATCAGTGAAGTTAACTGCTCTTCATCATCAATCAGCTTCTGGTTGGTTCGTTCCGGGAAGAAGATTGAAAACTCGTTTTCCAGAATTCCCAAAATTTTTGGTCCATATTTTGTGTTGACTTTCTTAATTTCCATGATTTGATACATCTTGTTTCGTTGCAGTTCTTCAAACTTTTTAGTTGGTAAAAAGTTCGGTAAGTTGTTGATTTTATTGATAGCACTCAAATCCATTTTTGAATTATTAAGCTAAGAAATTGATAGAAAATAGTTAATAATAATAGTAGAAATTAGTTATAAAATAGAATAATGAAATAAATGACTTACTTGATTTTCCGTAGAGTACACAATTTTAAATATTTTTAAAAAAAGACACAAATTTTTTTTAAACTGAACGACTGATTGAAGTAACTGCAGGCAGAGGACTGAAGTTTGGAGGCAAGTAAGTATAACTCCCCACCAACGATCCCCTCCTAACGATGACGACGTCAAAAACAGGTTTAAACTTGTCGGATGACGTAAAAACATGATGTAATCGAGAGAGTAGGGGCTAAAAAACGTTAAAATTCAAAAAACTTTTATCCTACGTCGATAAAACAGAACATCATTCGGCATAATAACGACTGTTGATACCCACAATCGATAACATAGGTCACTAATTGACATCAACTGTCGATAAAACTTACCTCAAATCGATAAATGAACTTCAATACCTCCATTAGATCCCACCAGAGCGGCGTAAGTATCGATCTTTCTCGCATATACTTATACCACAAATCATTTGAATATATATAAAATTCATCATCACATCAAATAAGTGCATATCACATCAACACCAAAGCTGGTACACGGCACAGGTATCAGCTCTGCTGTTGGGGTGGTAGCATTTTGATCTCAAACAATCGATCACCAAATCGATGATAACCCCGCAACAGTCGGTAAATATCGACACCGCCAAATCGATGATAATCACACAACAGTCGGTAAAAAAGAGCACAAAACCCACCATCGATATCGCAGAAACTCAACCAACGACCGTCGGCAAGACAGAAAATTAATGCCGATATTGCAGAAATATACTTTATCGGGGGGCCAAATCCTCCTTGTTCTGCTACTTATTGAGATGATCTCTACCTGACAAATAAAAGACTCCTACCAAATTAAGTATGTAGGAATTATAGCTAGTAAATTAAAAATTTTCATTCTTAACACCCACCCCCGCAATCCGTATTAGGAGTAGGTTATCATATAACATAAGTTTTTCTTAATCAATTTGGAAAGTAAAAACGAGAAAAGTCACAAAAAATATATTGTTTTATGATTTTAAGCTGTTTATTTGTTAAAAAGTATAAAAAATTGTGAAAGTCATCGTATATTATTTTAATTTGAACTTTAACTGCGAATAACTTTTAACCGAGTTGACTTTTAGCGAAAAATTACCGTTCATTTTCCTACAAAAATATCTATTTATTTTTACCACACAATAACTCGTTGAGATACATCAAAATCCAAAAAAAAAAAAAAAAAGCACTCCCGTGTTATTTAAATGGGAAATCAAAAATCACCACGTGACACCTCTAGATATTGATATTAAGAGCTTAAACTCTACCAAAATTTTTTTTTCGTCATCTTAGACGATATTTTCGCGGTAGCTAAAGAAAAAAAAATTAAAAGTTTTTTTTGGCCCACCCTAATAGAAATACATACATATATAAACTTTTGAACTATATATATTTTCTGACACAGCTCGACAAACTGAGTCAGAAAATGGCTAAATTTTTTAAAAGTTGTGCCATGAGGACCGCTGCAATAGTTAGATTTTCATAAAATCTACTAATAAAAATAGTAGTAATTAATAAACGGAATAATTATAAAATTTTTAATAATTTATCTCGATGACAGTCTGGAGTATTTGTTTTGATTGATGCCCACAACCGTAATTTGGTTATTATGTCGATTTTTTTTATTTTATTTATTTTGTAACAGGGAAAATCGATCTTCCCGGGGTCATTATTGGCCACTTAATTAACGCACGGTAGATAAGGGCTTTCCCTTACCTTTCGATTTTTGACAAGTAGTTTCGACTTGTCACCGGGCGTGCTAATCGAAAGTCCCCACTGCTGTCCCCGAAAAATGAAGTGGGGATAACAATAAGAAAGCTCGAGAGCCTGAGCTCGGGGTTATAAAAGAGCCGGGAAGAAAGACATCGAGGCTTTTTTCCCTTCTGGAAGCCAGTGGCCTTTTGCCTTTTGTGAATCAGTGACCTTGTTGAGATCAGTTAAGTCCAGAGAGTGCAAATTCGGACGTCGAGAATAACGATCAACTGCAGAGGAAGTTATTGTGGCATTTTGGAATTGGACAACCCTGACTGCAGGCCAGCACCCTGGTTCAACACGACAAGACGCCAAGCAGCTGAGCCCGTCAAGTGGGACCGGAGTATCAGTCGTCGTTGGATAAAACAAAAGTTGAGTCACCAGGTATTTTCGATTATTTTAGGCCAGATTTGATTATTAATTTAATTAAGAGGCTGAAATAATTAAAATTAATTTCTCGAGCAGCCATTTTATATTAACGAGTTTCGTACTTTAGAATTTTATTTGCCAAGGTCATTTAGCTAGTTTTGTCACTTGATATTTATTTTAAAAAGAATGAATTTAATAGATTATTTATAAATTTACTGTAAATAAATTAATTAGTAATTTATTATAGGCCTGCTGGCTATAATAAATAAATCATGGTTAATAATTTTCGAGATAAAAGGAAAAGTAAATTTGAATAAGAAATAAAAATGCGTAATTAAGTCAGTGAAGGTCATTCTAGAATGTTTTATGGTTGTAAATTTGGTATTGAGACGCTTAGAATTATAACAGTTGATATTTAGAAATTTTCTTGTTTGAAAAATTAAATTTAGGCCGGTGGCTAAATTTAATTAAATTATGGAATTTAGAAAAGTGTAGAATGAATTTATTGAGAAATTGATTAAATTTAAGAATAATTGATTAGAGGAATCAGATAAGGTGATTTTAGTGAATTGAGTTAATCTGAAAATTGAATTTAATTAAAAATACCCTAGCGGATTCCTGGTGACGGTTAAACTACGGTCAAATGACGGTGAATTCACCGTGAATTCACTTTACCGATGAAGGAAAGTCTATTGGCGGTCGAACAACCGTCGTTCGACGGTGCAAAATAAGACAAGTTGTGAAATGTTCTGACGGTGATTGCATGGTTCATACAGCAATCATTCACAAGATTTTCTCCATGTGTTTCCCACTCAATAACGATGATTTTCCGACATCTTGATCGTTTTCAGACATAGATACAACGGTGAATGACTAGTAAACATTCGGTGAATAAAGAGTATTTCGGTGGTGAATCCACGGTAATCTGCGAGTGAATTTCAGGTCAAATGGCGGTAAAGAAGATAGTAAGGGTAAAGTAGAAATTTTATACCAGCGATCCATTGATAAATTGCTGGATGAAGTTTTATTTGTAAATGTAAAAAAATTTCATAAATTAATATACGGGGCTAATAAAAAATAAATAAAAAGTTAATAAAAATAATTCGAAAAAGTATTCAGTCACTACAATTTTTGACATTATAAGAAAAACACTTTTTATAAATTTTTGTAAAATTTCAGGATTTTTTGTTTTATGAAATTTTTAATTTAACATGGGCTCATGAAATGAAAAAAAAAAATTTTTTTTTATTAATAAAATTTAGTGAATTTATTTTTGGTGACTAATTAAAAGAAAATGATTTATTATTGAGAATTCATGAAATAGAAATAATTATCAAAACTAAATTAAGTATCCGTAAAATACATGGTGATTAAAATGCATTTTTAACAGAAGTCTGGGATAGCATAACAGGAAAATCCCTCACTCTTACTTTGGTCACTGACCTGTAAGGACCTAAGCTCGGAAGTGTCCCTCCTACACAATAGGGCCTATACCTAGTAATTTGTCACAATTCCGAAATGGTCAAATACTCAGTATTATTCATTTTCAATTTAAATAAAATTACCAGTTATATCAGTGAAGTTATATAGTTAATTAACCTAATTTATATCAAGGAGAAGTCAGCCGGTCAATGACAAACGAGTCATTAACGCAGGAGGCTTCTCCCAAAGTGATTAGTGCCAATCCATTAACCGATGAAATCAGTGCAGTGTCTCCAACTTTTAATAACACAACATTAAACTGTGAAATCAAAAAATTAGTGGAAAAAGCGAAAAACAATCCTATCTCTACAGATGATATCAATAATCTATCGCGAAAAATTGTGCTTCATAAACTTAAAAACAATAAAATTACTATAAGTGCTCCTGTAAGAAAGTCAACAAACCGGATAATGAAAAATTCCTCTATGAAGAGGAAAGCGAATCTAAAAGAGGAAACCTCACCTCCAATAGCTAAGAATACATCAAATTCAGTAAACACAGACCCTACAAATTCAATAGACATGGAAATAACGGAGTTATCAGAGGACAGAATTACCAAGCAACTAAAGAGCTTGGAGTCCACCATAGTTGAGCTCAACAAAGTCATTGAAAACCTCACAAAGCAGAACAACCAACAACACAAGATGATTACTTCACTACAGAATCAACTCCATAGTAGAAATATCTTATCAAAAGCTCAAAATCCAGACACAGAAGAGAGCCTCTCTCCCTCATCACCTCCAAAAAAATTAAAAGGATCATCCACGGATTCACCGATCCAGTCAATAACCTCACCAGGTACGCATACCCCCAGCGAAGCATCTGTAAATTCTCCCACTGCCAAGGACAATAAAACCATAACATCTGATGTCAGACCAAGTAAGCCACCACCAATCAAGGTATTCGGTCAACAGTGCCAAACTACTGTTAATATTTTGAAGAAACTTAATTTAGATAGTAATTTCTCAACAAAAATGTTAAAATACAATAAACACACAATAACTGCCAACAATGTAAAAGATTTTAAAACAATAAAATCTGCTCTTCAAGCAGAAAAAGTAGATTTCTATACAAACACCCTCAAAGAGGAGAAAGAGCAAGTATTTTTATTAAGAGGACTTGAGGGTAACTACATTCCTGAAGATATCCTCAAGGACCTAATTAACTTAAAAGTCGAAGGAATTCAATTTTTAGAAGTACATCAATTTAAAACCAAAAAATCAATTCTCGAAAATAAAACATTGCCAATTTTCGCGGTCCATTTATCGGCAGATAGTATTGTGAAAAATCTTGAAAAAATTAATAACTTTGATTATCAAATTATCCATTGGGACAAATACAGAAATCTAGACATAGTACAGTGTTTTAACTGTCAAGGTTTGGATCACACATCTAAAAATTGTAATCGCACATTCAAATGCGTCAAATGCGCAGGAACGCATAACTGATAAATTGAAGTTAGAATCCTTAATGAACGAGAACTTGCCAATAGATATTAAGAGCAACCTTAAGTGCGTATTATGCAATGAATTTGGTCACCCGGCATCTTACAGAGGGTGCATCAAATTCAAAGCATTTAAAGAT